TACAAAGATGGGGAAAATACAACAGCGCCACATACCGGGTATATGAAGACCATCTTTGATGGCAGAAAAAAATGATCTGGGAAAGGTTTTTGGTTGAGCACTTATATGAACCTGCTATAATCTGGCTTTATATGACTTTGTATGCAGCTTAGGTATACAATATAAGTTGGGAAAGTCATTGTTTTTTTTCGGATTGTAAATTTCTAATGTCATGAATGACCTGTGATTTGCCATAATTTTACTCTATATATGCAATGTTTGAAGGCAGAATAGACCATTTTCCGTTCACTGCGAGAATCACGCGCTATGCGTGAAATCGAACGTAAAAACAGGACAAACAAAGGTCATAGCGTCGTAGTTGCGTCAAACATCGCGTGGGATTCGACAAACGCGAAAGTATTTTGGGGGACACTCCCATGCTTAATAATGTGCTGTCCACATTTGATGATAGGCAATTTCGATTAAGTGAGGGTATTCAGAAGCAATATTCCTCTGTCAAAGATCGGCCGGTCGATGTGAGCTACAAAATAAAGAAATTCGAGTTCAAAATCAAATCGTTCGATTTTTACGGCAGACGTTTGACGCGCGTCTTTCATGCATCTCGCGAGATCTCGCAATTGTACGGAAAATCACCTATTACTAGATGCACCCGTTCCTTATATATTTATAATAACATTCCCCACAAACAACTTTAAGGAGCAGCATTCTCAGCACACATTATGACATATTTGTCATGGAGTGAAGCATGCTTCCTGATCACTGAATACAGATGTGAATCTACTCTGGAAGCACAATTGAAGTTTGTGAATGCAGCAGAATACACAGCATTGACTTATTCTGACAGTCAGACAAGTGAGTATTGTTTAGTTTTTTTTGGAATGTCATTTTAAGTTATAAACAAACTGGTCCCCCACATTCACTCTCACCGTCACAGAGTTAACGATTCGTTCTGGCTCACATATAAAACCTCAATATGAGCTTTTGCCATCACAGATATTCAATCATCATTACTTTGATCAATTGACTTTATGAAATTAAACCTGGTGGTCATACACATATAATTTTTCCTATGAGCATT